GTGAGGAAGACCACAGTCCTGGATGTTATGAGGCGGCTGCTGCAGCCCAAAAACGTGATGGTGTCCACAGGCCGGGATCGCCAGACCAACCACTGCTACATCGCCATCCTCAACATCATCCAGGGGGAGGTGGACCCCACCCAGGTAGGTGAGGCCCCTTCGTTCTACCCCTGAACCTGCAGGGGTAGAGGAGAGGCTACCACCACCACTTCTGCGCCCACCCCAGGTCCACAAGAGCCTGCAGAGGATCCGGGAACGCAAGTTGGCCAACTTCATCCCCTGGGGCCCAGCCAGCATCCAGGTGGCTCTGTCGAGGAAGTCTCCATACCTGCCCTCTGCCCACCGGGTCAGCGGGCTCATGATGGCCAACCACACCAGTATCTCCTCGGTGAGTCTCACAGCTCGCACCTAAGTTCTTTGTTCCCTAATCAGTTTCTTAATTGAGCTTCACCTGTCCACATCCCTGCTGCCCCTGCTTCTGGCTTTTGACTTCGGGGATAGCCTGGCCTTGATTCCCTGGCCCTCTGGGCCGTATTGAAATTCTGTGTGACCCCTGTTTTCTGCACACCCCAAGCTCTTTGAGCGGACCTGTCGCCAGTATGACAAGCTGCGGAAACGGGAGGCCTTCCTGGAGCAGTTCCGCAAGGAGGACATCTTCAAGGAGAACTTTGACGAGCTGGACACATCCAGGGAGGTTGTGCAGGAGCTCATCGATGAGTACCATGCAGCCACGCGGCCAGACTACATCTCCTGGGGCACCCAGGAGCAGTGAGTTCCCCGGACAGGGACCCTTTTCTGCCTTACTGGTTGGCCCAGGCCTTGCCTGACTGACCACACCCTCAGAGCACAGATCAGGGACCTCCCACATCTGCTCATACACACACGTACACTCACTCTCTGTTGGCCTGAAGACACATTTCCTTTTCCTCTTATGAGACATTTTAATAAAGCACTAGCTATAAATCAAGTCACGGGTCTCTTTCGAGGCTTTGGAACCTGGGAAAGGGTAATGCCTGTTGTTTCTCCCCCACTTCCAGCATCTTCAGCTCTAGGCAAACGGCCTCCCCTTGCTTTTCCTTCTCCCTGGTTTTGGAGAACACAGGTGAGGTTGACCCACCTGAGAAATTCCTTTCCAGGGTAAATAAAGGCCCACAGATAGGACCTCGCCCACTGTCTGACACAGGGTCTGGGCCTAGGCTCCTCCACTCCTCACTGTCCCCCCCTCATTGTTCCAGCTGAGCATTTCACCAGTTGCATGTTCCCACATCAGAGTACCCTCTTGATCATCACAGCAGCAGGCCTGAGACCACCACCCCTGCCTGCCACTAGGCCCTGGGCAAGCAGTGGAGTCAGCCCAAGCATATTTAAGCCTCTTGCAGGCAGGGCGGTGCTGGAGAGCCAGTGCAGGAGAGCCACTGGATCAGGCAGCTGGAGTCTCTAAGAAAATCAAGTCAGGAGAGCAGATCCAAAGCCTAGGCTGTAAGCGGGGCCAAACTGGGGCCCACGGTTACGGTGTCATTTCTATTTGCAGAGGGGTCTCCAGTTATTTAAAGGGCCAGTGCCTTCTACTTTGGGAAGTAGTAAATACACAGAGGCCTAAATCTTCAGCGTCAAAAGGGCAAAGCAGGTTGTCCTTCCACTGTGGCAGCCCTATTAGGCTCTTATACACCTCAGAGGTGGGGGTTGTAGTAGTGATAGCTAATGTGTGCATGCATACACTGCTAAGTACTTTACCTACATTATTCTGTTTAATCCTCATGACAACCCTATGAAGTGGTAGATATTATTAATTCCATTTTATAAAGGAGCAAACAGGGCAAGAGTGGTCAGTTTACCAAGTCACCCAGCTAGTAAATGGCAGAGCTGGCTCAGACTCTGGTGTGACTGACTGTTATCTGTGTTCCTAACCACTGCACCATCCTGCCTTCTGTGATCTCTTACAGGGCTAGCATAGAATTGGCCCATTTCTGAGCTCTCTGGTTGTCAGAGGATGTGGGGACCTTGAATATCTGTGCAGATAGGGCAGGTTCAGTGTGGGAAGGGGAGGATCAGCCTCAGCTGGCTTCAGGGACACCTGCAAAGTATGCCCATCACCCAGGTCAAGGCAATTGGTGGCTTGTGGCTGCCCTTTCCTTATTCTCACCCCCCAGAGGGTCAGGCCCAGTAGGATCAGATGGACTGGGGCTTTTAGACCTCAGCATGAAGGTGAAACACCAACCCAAAAAAGCTTCTGCACCTCCTTACCAAAGCTGAAGAAGGCACACACCATGATCAAATTCACCACCGAACTTTGGGCTAATTAAGCCCCACCCTTCTTTTACATTAGAAGGCACATTTGCTCGCTCTTGAACCTATTTATCCTTATTAAACTCTGGGTGTGAGCAGAGCGAGCAGTTTACAGGTTAGACCCTTATGAACAGAGGGGCCCTTTGCAGGACTGATGGGCAGAGAACAGGCAGTCAGAAGCTGCCCCTGGGCTGTCTGAGGGGTGGCAGAGAGGCCGCAAGCCTGTCACTGTCACAGTCAGTGCAGCTAGCCTGTCCCTTATCTGCTGTCAGGGTCTACAGGGGGCTGACCGGGGAGAGCCAGCCTAGCTGCCTGCTCTCCTAGTAGGAAGGAAGGTGACTTCAGTGCAAACCAGGGTGCACTTGGTCCCTTCTTAGCTCTGCCTGTAACTCCTTCAACTACTGGGTACCTTCCTCGGTCTCCCCCTTTACTGCCCCTACTCTCGATTCCTGCCTTGCATCACTTGGGACATCTGTGTGAGTGGCTGGTGCTAAGCAGGGGAGCATGAGCTGCCAGCTGTAGCAGATGTTGAGTGGCCAGCTGCCCTCCAGGCAACAGGCAGTCCCAAGGCCCTTCCTTGCAGGATGCAGTTAGATGGAGTGTGGTGCCCTGCCCACCCTCCCCCAAAAACAAACAAACAAACCCGGTGCTGGTGAGTCGATCCTGATTCATAGTGACCCTACTGGACAGGGTAGAACTGCCTCAAGGGTTTCCAAGGAGCAGCTGGTGGATTTGAACTGCCGGCCTTTTGGGTAGCAGCCGAGCTCTTAACCACTGTGCCACCAGGGAGCCCCAGGAGGGAGGAAATGCCCAGGAAGTCCACAGTAAAAGCTACGTCTGGATAGTATTACGGGCCCAGGGAAGAATACTGGCAACCCGGAGGGGTGAACATGCTGCACAGGTGGGCCTTCTTGGGACCCTCAAAGATGTCTCCTTTCTCTGACTGCTCAGCACCAGGCATTATAAACGCAGCTAAAGCATCTCAGTGCCGCTTCTGAGCCAGGCTCCTCCCCCAAGGCTATTTCCAGATCACCAGTCTCTCTGCACCCGGGCAGCCCCTCCCTGTTCTTGGCCAGCAGCAAACTCCAAAGTTTGTCAACTGGAGGGCAGCGAGGAGGCCAGGTGGAAAGGGAGGGAGGCCTCCGGGAATCAGGGCAGCAGGTGGTGCTGGTGGGGAAAAGTGGTCTAAGAAGCCGCAAGCCACAGAAGTAACTGTACCCGGTGAGAGACACAGGCTGCTGAGGAAAAGTTGGGAAAACATAATGCTCCAGCCAGAAACAGAAGCCTCTTTTTGACTAAATGAATAAGAAAACAGCCATTTGAAGGTAACGTTCCCAGAGCATTCCCAGTGATAAGACCCCGGGGACCCTCAAACGTGCCGGGACAGAGATCTAGGAGCAGGAGGCACAGAGCCAAAAATAGAATTTGGTGTAAACAAAGCTGCAACTTTGCAAAGTGGGTTGAAATGAAGTGGAGATGAAGAGGGGGTGAGCACAAATGGTGGACAGGGAGGGCAGAGTGAGCACAGACTCTGGACAGAAAGTTGGTGGGTCAGTCTGCTGAGCCTTGTCTGTGGTCTCCACCAGTCACAAGCATTCTGGATCTCTAGAAATTGGCACTCCACAGTGGAGAAAGCGTCAGTTAAAATCCAACATACATACAAGACAATTTGGCGGTTCCTCAAGGAATTTCCACAGTAAATCACCAGGCCTTTCTTCCTAGTCTGTCTTAATCTGGAAGCTCTGCTGAAATTTATTCAGCATCATAGCATCACACAGGCCTCCACTGACAGACGGGTGGTGGTTGTGCTTGAGGTGCATTGACAGAATCTAACTGGGTCTCCTGCATGGAAGGCGAGAATTGTACCGCTGAACCACCATTGCCCTGGTGTGAATCTATAGACCGAAACAAATCACAAGGAGAAAGGACAGGGCTACTGGGGACTTTAAAATAGAGGCAATTAGGATGAGGACTCTCATCTTCATAAAGATAGAAGAGAGAGAAAAATCACAGAAAGCACTAAGGGGTTATTCGACTTAGGGTTAAACATACCACCTTGAGTCCATAAGAAAAGACTGAATTTTGTTCGGTATATTCCATTTAAGAAAAGAAAAACAAATAATACATTTTAGAAATATTCCTATCAAAAATAATTTTGAATGTTTTAAGTTATAGGACCTAGAGAGATAAGCTTGCTTATCTGGAAAATTCATGTATCTGCATGGAGAATCTACTTCCCCAACAAGGCTGATAAAAATTACGGCGTAAAACAATGAGGGGCTACTGCTTTAACACTGCAAGAGGCAGCGACCTTCCTTGGGACTACCTGGTACCCTGTTCACACTCTCCTGGCAATACCCCAGTATATTGTAATTAAGGGTTTATTGCCTGTCTTTCCCCCAGCCTATGCCTTTCTTGTGGGCTGGGACAGTGCCTTTTATCTCGTATCCCTGATGTCTACCCTAGGTCCTGGACATTGTAGCTGTTCAACAAACATTTGTTACGTAAATGAAGAAAGCCTGTCAAGGCCATAGCTTCCACTCCCTGCCTTTTCTGTAACAAGAAGATAGTAAAAGTCTTGTCACACAACCAATTAATAGTGTATCCCAGGACAAATTCATGTGTTCACCACATTGGCCTAAAGTTCAGGAATATTGCAATTTTAATACGAGACAACTTTCAGAGAGAAAAGGGGAAAAAAGATGTTATTTCTGCACTAGAAATAAATTTTTTTAATTCCTCTATGCATAATGTTAAGTAAAGATATCCTAAGAATCTTAGCACTGAATAGCTTATGGTATCAGGAACCTAATGGTTTGATGTAGCTGAATTTCTGATATTTGACACTTTGGAAATTTTCCTAAGGGATACATTACATGAGGCGCTATTAGCAAGTGAATGGAAGCACACTGGTGACTACAAATATTTTACTTCCTACAAGATCAAATAATAGTCATGAATCATGAACTGGATCTGTGGACAGCTACATCAAATGAAATGTCAGCAGAAGGTAGGGCAGTTCCAAGGCCCGATCTGCAAAGTCAGTTGGGAAAAGGGGGCAGTCAGAACTGGTACAGATGGAAGGTCACCCACAGGGTAAAACGAAGTTGCCAGCTGGATGCACCCTTCTAAGATAATTTTGTAGTGGCTCACTGTGCTCAAGGAGCACAGCTCCCTGTAGGAGATGGCCAGGGGAGGTGGTGAGGAGTGGGAAAGATCTTCAGGGATTGCCAACCTACAGCTGTGCCAGTGAGGAAATACTGAGTCAAATAGTTCCAAATCTTGTCCAACGACTTGAAAATGATACACCTTCCTTTTCCTAACCTACCATCCGCCTGAGGATTCTCACTATCGCGCATCCTTCCTTGGCATTCTGCCCCAAACCAGGGAGAGCTGTTCCCCCAAACTTCTTTACACTTAGATTCCCATGTTAGAAATGGTTCTACCATAAGAAACGTGCTGAAAGCCCAGGGACAACAATGAATCACAGAGGGCACTGGCCACAGGGATGGTATTTAAAAATACCAGGCGTTCTTGACGTTCACGAAAAGGATGAACTAGAGATGACCAAACAGGGTTTAAGTCAAGGGGCTAAAGAGGGTGTCGCGCGATGGATTGCTTTTGTGTGGCTTTTCTTGCCATGGTCTTGTAACTTCCATCCAAATGATTGGGTGGGACTGTGCAAATAAGGTAATTGTGACCCACAAAGGGTATTGGTCAGTTTT